AGCTAGGAAACTAGGTCTGCGCACATGTGGGCTTTGTCCCAAGGAATGATGTTTAGGTAAAACTTTATAGAGGCAGGATATGGGCCATGCATGGAGGAAGGTGGGCCATATGAGTTTGAAGTGTTTTCTGCACCCTGTTCTGACAAGAATACAATGCCATAGGAAGTGTGACAAATGCACTAAAAGGAACACTCCTAGTGAGTAATTCTAGGTGAATTATATACCCTTGACATAGATTCTTATCTTATATCTTATGTATTATACTACATTTTCAGGTCATGAGATAAAGCTACAAATACAGGTTTTTGAAATATAATGAGGTACATTTTATTAACTGTAATTGAAATCATTGGGCTAGTTAGGAGAGAAATAAAATTCAAGAAAAACTCGTTTGTTTCTCTGTCGCTGTGTTTTATGAATATCCAGATTAAAATTCACTCATACCACAAAGAAGAACGTTGATAAAAAGGAGTGGAGAACTCTTTTACTGGTTTGAAAATTGTTGACTCGCACACACAAAATGAAACTTTAAATAACACTTCTTGTGTAGGAAAGGAGGAACATTTCTGGCCCTGTGAGATGCTGCCATCGTCGGTTGTTTTTCTAGAAACAGTTAAAACTTACAAGAAAATGCAACTTGCACAAACTGCAGTGAAGGAAAATCGGTTATCATGATTCCATCGTGGGTCTGCCAAAGACCCTCTATGAGCCAATCAAACCGTGGAATCCAAGCAAATAAATATCAGTACAATCTCACAAACTGAAATGACACACGTTCCTGATTAATCTTAGAGGCATCCAGTCTATTGACGTCCCCTTGTCATTGGAAGCAAGCCAGATGGTGTGTTTATGGAAGGCCTAGCCGAGACTCAAGAGCCCCAATGGAAGTTCCTGCCCCCCATGCCTACCTTTTCCACAATTTGAACCTATGAAATGAACACAGTATACGTACATGGAACCGGTCATTTGCTTTCAGTGCATAACCCTTGAAAAAAAACGCATGCTCCCTGATTGCCCGTGGATATTTTCACTTTAGTTATGTTTACACCCTTGAACAAGCCCCCAGAAAGTACAGTTGCGTGCAGTACATGTAGGCCTATAAAGCAAAGTTTTGGTTTTTCGAGAAAAAAAGGCCTTCTTTCAATTGCTGTAGAAAGTTCCATCAAAATACCAAGTGATGTGTTCCTTTAAAATGAAATAGTACCTTCGGGAAGGGAGGATAATTTCAGCATCAGCTTCAGGTAAGTTTTCTAATATCAAGGCAGATCAGGCATGGACAATTTCTTGGGGGAGGGGGCTTCAATTTAGTAATTAAGGAATTCAAGGGGGAAGTGAGCCTGAAAAAGTGGGCATTTCTGTAGAGAGAATTTTCGATATTATTCAAGAACCAAGATTTTTTATATTTCGCCATTTCAAAGAATAAAGTAGGACGAGGGGGCATATGGCGAGCGTGCCCCCTCCCCCGATCTACTGTTTATATGCATGCATTGTTTCAGCCAACACAGTGCTAGAATGAAATGCTAGAATTATGCTGCAATATCACGTAACTTCGTCTTGCTCAGTCGATGAACTGCCCCTCCTGTTTGCATCCCAGTTTATAATTTCAACAACGAATGTGCACAGTGAGATCTGTTATTTTATACTTCAGGACAAAAAACAGTGCGTAACATGTATACATTCTGGGAACTTAAAGGATAGGACAATAATCAAAGCTGCATTTTATGCAGTCAAAAAGATCAAAACACCTGTAGTAGGCCCACATCACTTGGCACATAGACAAATAAATCACAACGTGTACTTCGAAACATTAATTCTAAAGAGTATGAAACTTAGTTTTTGTACTTTAAAGGTCTTTCCCTCAAATTTGTTGATGCTCTCCATCATTTTGAACGCATAAAGCCGATTTTTTTTATTCTGAAACTGTCAAAACTGTCAAAACTTTGATGTGCGTATATGCGCATATGCAAGGAACTAGTCAATAATATGGAACACAATAATAATATTAATAAAAAAGTATAACCCCACAAAAAATTAGAGTTTTGTATTTCTCCTCAATTCAATGGAACTTTGGTATCACATTTCTTCTACATGCATTTACAAAACCACTGAATATAATTTTATCAATACTCATGCATTTATTTATGCATTCAACGCCGTTCAAGCCTAACAAAGCGAGTACACCCAAAATAATGTATAAATCCAAAGGTGGATCCAAAGCAGGTCCCCAGATTTTTCTTTGTGAAACAATATCAGAGAAAGCGTAGTTTGTTTGTTTTCTTTTTTGGTCTCTTTTCCTTCTCTTCTGTTTTGCCTTTGAGAAAGATGCAGCTATAGGATAGAATTAGGCCCTTCATATTTTGTGACTCTTCCAAAAGTGTGCAAAAACATCCAAATTTTGCCTTATCCCTCAGAAAAGACATAATGGTTGCATTAAATCTTTCCGGTCTATTTCTTCTCCCCAAAGCATGTTGGCCGCCCTCTCCCCGAAAATTCGGTTGTGGATCCGCCTTTGACCACACCTGATCAATTTTGAAAGCATGGAGGAAATCGGCTGCAGAGGAGGATCAGTTAAACGAAGGTGCCATCCCCATTACAGGACCTGTAAAAGAGGGGGGGTTAAGTCCCTCAGTCAAAAAGGTGGCCCCTTGTTCCCCCTGCTTCTGCTTCCAGTGCCATCCGATGTCAGATAATTGAAAAACTTGTCGGGTTAACAGTCGGTTGGGGAATAATTTGGAACACTTTAATAATATACTTTGTCACCTATTTGTGTAATTCGTAATTTAACATTCCAGTTTTGCAAGATCTATTTTATCTTTTGTATTTTACAGTACATTTTATTTCTTGTGCAGCCCTGATTTTGCCTCTATTAGCTTTCCTTCAGTTCTCCTGTCTGTTGTACTGTGAATTTGGCTACATCCCTTCCCTTAATCCTACCAATATGCACTGATTTTTTCCGCAGCTTTCTGCACTGCTCGTGTGCAAGCGCGCCCTCTGCTGACATTCTCAGAAAGACTTTCCCACAATGCAATGCGAAAAGTTTTCTTTCTCGAAAATTTTCACAAAGCGATTTAGCCTTAGGCTAATTGTGTTCAACATTTAAATTCATCAGTTTGATGTTAAGGAGTGCTGTTTTACTGATAAAGGTCAACAGTAGTTTCGTACATTCTGGTCATCACAAAATTGAGTTAGAATAATACTCTAATGAAAACAAATTACTTGAAGTTGTGAAAGAGTACATTTTAGCCAGAGTTATGATTATTACGTCACGTGTAGGTTGCTATGTTGCTCCTCCGCTATAAAATTGAGCGCAAACCATGGAAACATCAGTTGTGTTTACGCTTTGCTTTGAGTGTGGACGCCTTATTTCTTCGTGAGAAATTACTTCATTGCGAATGCGATATTTCTCGATTATTGCTGTACTTCTTTGGGCTTCAGTCACCGAGACTGTAAGGTAAGAAGAGTCGCTTTCGTGTATATTTAGATTTTTCTACCGATAGCCTACGGAGCTTATGGTTATGGAAAAAGGCAGGCCTACGCATGTTATTGCTTTTAAGCTTGCAACTGCTTTAAGCGTAAACACATAAACACTGTCTACTTTCTTCTCTAGTTCT